TTTTTTTGTGTGTGTGTGTGTGTGTGTGTGTGTGTGTTGGTGTCATCTTTTCGTTTACTTGTTTGTTGGACAGGTGGTATATGATGACGAATCGAAAGTCCTCCCTACTCCTCTTCCCTCCTCGACCCTCCTCTTCCCTCGTTCCTCCCTCATCCGTTATCGTCATAGTCCTTGTCCTCCCTACTCCTCTTCCCTCCTCTTCCCTCCTCTTCCCTCCTCTTCCCTTCATAGGGACTGCAAGTGTCAACAGCGGCGACAGGGTCTTGCTGGAAAGATGACGGTACCAGTAAGGGCATATGGGAAACTTTACTGCTGTTTCTTAACGGGCAGCCGGTAGGGGCATACTGAAAATTAGGTACCGGTAGGGGCATATGAAACATTTTTGAGGCCCAAACGACGCCAGGGGTATTCTGGAAACATCATTCGTCGTCAGAGGGCCACGACAAGGTAAGTCGGCCGCCAGAGGGGCACGCCGCAAATAAACGCAAACTTCAGGGGCATTTCGAAAATTTTCCCAAATAAAAAATAAAAAATATATGATGTGCGCACCTGGCGCATATGCGGCCCGCCAGTGCGCACGCCCCAGCGCATCGGCCCTGTGCGCAGCGCATTGCGCACCGCGCAGCCAGGTGCGCGCGCACGTCGGATCCACGCACCACGCAGCGCACAGGGCCGATGCGCTGCAAGTATGCTCATTAAGCATCTGATCCACCCACCCACCCCTCCATTTGCTCACTTTTTTCTTGTCGGTGGAGAGTGATGAGAAAGGAACCTGTTGTTCATGCTCCTGACAGATGAGCGGCAAGTCTGACAATAGTGATACTGCTTTCACGCGGAGGGTTGTGGTCCGATGGTGAAGCACAACTGGCACCAGCTTCGATAGGGTAAGCATGTTTAGAGGTATTTGTACTTCCACCATTTAACACCCCCCCCCTCCCTCATCACACAATTCTTCCTCCCCATTCCCCGCCCCACCACTGCTGCCACCGTTGCTGCTGTAGTGATCATCACCTCCAGCGCCATGCCCGTTGCCTGCCACAATTGCCACCACTGCTCCCTCCTGATCCTCGTCCTCCTCCACAAATTCCCGTCTCTTCTCTTCATAGTTGACCACTACTTTGTTTCATACTCGTGAAACACAGTCATAAGTATGGCGCAGATTCCCATAACCGACCAGATAATACAGAGTAAATAGAAATACAACGGAAGACTTTAGATACATGGACTGACTCTGACCTGACTCGGACTGCAATCGAACACTCTCAATCATACATCAGGGGTGTGAAAGCCCTGGCCTTGGACATAAACGAAGGGCCAGGGTCTGAGATCATCCACGGACGAAGGGAGAGAGGAGAGAGACGAAGGGAGGAGGAGAGGGAAGATGACATCAACTCAATGTTTCCAAAAACAGTATCTTGAAATGTCAAAGGTAGCGAAAATCCGAAATGTCGAGAACACAGTGTCTCACAATGTCTCAGATATCGATCTCACAATGTCAAGTACATTTCCAGAGGAAGATGAAATCAGATCCCACTAGAAGTCCTCAACCTGTAGTCCTAATGTTGTTGTCTCCAATGTCATCATAACTCGTAACCATCCTTCATACTTGTGGTAGTCCCGTAGGAGAACCCAGGAGTAGACTTAGGCTGAGAAGGTAGGAGGAGAGAGAGAGAGAGAGAGAGAGAGGCGGAGGAAGAAAAGGGAGGGAAGGCAAGGCCGTCCTCCCTGGTACCTGATTGGTAGCTATGGTGCTGCAGCAGGCTGGCGCTGGGCCGCGGGCTGGGCCTGTGGCTGGCGCTGTTCCAATGGATGCACTACTCCTTCCTCGCCGCTGTGCTCAATCTCTCCTCGCTGCGCTAATCCTGCTAACGCTGAAGCGCTGCGCTAATCCTGAAGACTAACGCCCTATCTCACTAACCTCCCTACCGAGGCTGGTACCCAGCCTTTTGAGGTGCTGGGCTGACCTCCTACTTGCTGGTACCTACCGGCCTGGACCGTTGATCTGATCAACGGTCCAGATTCAAAACTGGACTTGGTGCCTAAACGCGGCAGCCTTTGAAACCGCGCCGCCGGTAGGTCCTATGCTGGACCGGTACCGGCCTGGTGGCCGTTGCCCTGGGCCTCTGCCTGAACATTCGTGCCCCTGGCCTACCTGGGCCTCATCTGAACCGTCGTCCCCTTAGGCCTACCCTGCCTACCTGGAACCAGGCCCTAACTGGGGCCCGTGTGGCTCAGAATGCCACACACTCCCCCCCTTGAAGACCGAGCTAACTGCGAGGGCGAAGCTGTCTGTCTGATGTCCGTACGGGGCGGGCAGGTTGGGCAGCTTCCTTAGCAAGTCGCTGTTTTTCGTAATGCGCGAAGATGAGGAGTGTTGTCGCCTTCAGGTCAGCTCGTGAAATCCAGCGTGTGTCGTCAGGATCGCATTGCTTAAATGTAACTCTGTACTGCATTGGCTTGTTGCCATGCTTGCGATGAGTGAGAACGCGGTCGACCTCCTGGTGACCATCCATTGAAGGAGGGTCGTGTGACCATCTGCCCGGGAAGTCCGCTGCGAAGGCTGGAGTGTAGACCGCCAACTTTGAAGCGTGAAATATCGGGTGGACCGTCAAATGCGGGGGAATCTCAATGATGAAAGATGGACCCGCGGGGTCGTCGCCAGCTGCTGAAGTGACCTTCCATGGCCCAAACCACTTAGGGAGGAGCTTGCGTGAGACGTGCTGCTCAAGCGCAAATTCCTCGCAGGTGACCCAAACAAGGTCGCCAGCGCGGATTGGACATGGGATGCAATGCCGGTTCGCTTGCTGCTGCATACGAACCTGAGCCTTTTGCATGTTTGCGCGGGCTTTGGCCAGCAGTTCCCTGTACTTCCGTGTAGAAGCGGGGGAGCAAACGACGTCGATAACGGCAGCTCGTGGAAGCAAAACGTCTGCGAAGATACGTCCTTTCCGTCCACCGTGATGCAACTCGAATGGAGTCACGCCAATCGTCGGGTGCACCGAAGTGTTGTAGGCGAACTCAGTGTCGGGAAGGCGGTCAACCGAGTCCTTCTGATCCGGGCGGATGAGTGTGCGAAGCATCATCTGCGCAGTCTGGTGCGAACGTTCTGTTTGCCCATCCTTTTGAGGATGTCGTGCGGAACTCGAATTCATGCTGGTGCCGGATTCCACCATGAGTGCCGTCCAAAAGGCTGACATGAAACGAGCGTCGTGGTCGCTGACGATGTCTTCCGGAACGCTGTGGCTGCAAAACCAGCCAGTATGCAAAAGTCGTGCGAGCTCTGGAGCCGTCACAGGATACTTGCATGAAAGAAATCGAGCGTACTTGCTCAAACGGTTAACGACCGTGAGCATACCATCATGGCCAAGGTGATCGTGAGGGAAAGGACCGGTCATATCCATGGTAATGGAAAGACCTGGTTCCCGAGGAATCGACAATGGTTTCTGTTCGCCGTACGGGAGCTGATGGCGCCCTTGGTTCCGGTGGCAAACTGCACATGATTGAATGTACCGGTTGACGTTGGTGATGATGTCCGGCCAATGAAAACGTTGGCGGAGTCGTGCAAGTGTGTGTGTGACGCCAAGGTGTCCCACCAACTGCAAATCGTGGTATTCGCCAAGGAGGCGAGTGCGCAAGATGCGGTCTTGGGGAACACACAACAAGTCCTTGCCTCGTGTATGGAGAAGCAAGTAGTCGTCGACGATGCGATAATTGCTTGTCGACGGTTGATCCAATGATAAGTCCACGTAGAGTGTGGAGAATCCCGGATCCGACTTGTAGCCGTTTACGAAATGCTGTTGCAGGTTCTCGCCGAGGCCGAATGTGGAGTGCACCAAGGCGCAAAGATCGGGTCTTCGCGAGAGAGCATCCGCTGCCTTGTTCGAGGAGCCCGGAATGTGCTTGCAAGTGAAGTCGAACTGGTCGATGAAGTACATCCAGCGACCGATCGTGCTGCTCATCGTGTCTTGCGTCTTGTAATATGTCAACAAATTGTTTTTCGTTGCCCGCGTGAATCGCCGACGCCCGAGGAGAAAGTGACGCCAACGCATAAGTACGCTGACAAAAGCTAGCAGTTCCTTTTTCCTCGCATCATCAAGTGAATTGATGGGCGGCACCTTTTGGCTGAAGTACTCAACCGGATGCCAGTCTGTGTCGTCATGATGTTCCAAGACCGCGCCGATGCCATAACCGGAAGCATTCGTAGTCACTTTGGTAGGCAAGGTCGGGTCATAGATGCTGAAGACGGGAGCTTGAAGCAAAGTCGTCTTCAGCGTGTGGAACGCATGCCGGGCTTCGTCGTCGAACTCGAAGAGCACCAAGGGGGACTGAAGTCGCGACAATGGTGCAGCGATCCATTGAAAACCTTTGACGAAGCGCATGTAATATGATGCTAAGCCGAGAAAGGAGCGGACGTCGGTAGTACACTTGAGGTCCGACCAATCTTGAATGGCTTGTACTTTGTCCGCGAGCAGACGAATGCCTTGTAGCGTAACGTAATGGCCTAAGTACTCCAACTCTTGTTGGGCAAACTCACACTTGTCACAGTTCGCCTTGTACTTAGCGATACGAAGCCGCTCCAAAACGGCGCGAAGGTGCTCGAGGTGCTCGTCCAGCGTCCGACTATAAACCAACAAGGTAAATGAGTACGGTGCGATCGAGCAGGTCGTGATAGCTGATTGGAAAGTAGCCGGGGCATTGGTGAGACCGAAAGGCATGACGATCCACTCAAAGTGCCCATACCACGTCTTGAATGTTGTCTTATACCGATCTCTTGGCTGGATCTCGATCTGGTGATATCCGGACTTGAGGTCGAGCTTCGAGAAGTACTTGGCGCCGCCTAGTCGCTCGATAAGGTCATCGATCTGAGGGAGAGGGTCGGCGTTCTTGATCATTTGCGCGTTAAGTTTCCGACAGTCGATGCACAAACGAGGGTCCTTGTTCTTCCTCCGAACGAAGAAGACGGGAGCATCGTATGGTGAACAACTAGGGCGAATCCAACCCTTGTCCAAGAGGTTGTCTAGTTGTGCCCGAAGCACTTGAAGCTCCTCTTCGCTCATGCGGTAGATACATCCGCGCGGAGGTACGACGCCGTCCTTGAGAGTGATCCCGTGGCGTATGGGCCGATCCGGTACTACTCCGGCGGGAGCTTGGAAGACATCCTCATAGCTGTCCAACCGCTCAATGATGCGTGGGTCCGACGTATCCGTCTTGGGCTGATCACCGGGTGGGAGGGCGTGAAGAAAACATATGCCCATCTCCTCGATGTCGTTCCACTGGATGGATTGGCGAATGCTCGCCGCGGAGACCACGTGACAACCAATCGAAGGATGAGGAAGCGGCAACGCACACGGGACTAATTCGCCACGCCGATCACAAACGTGAATGGTGCGTCGACAAAAGTTCACCGGATGGTCTTCGCTTTGCAGCCACGACATGCCTAAAATCATATCGAACTTAGTGTCCAATATGTCGAATGACACGGCCTCGCATGCTAGCGGGGCAAAGTACACGGGCACCGAGTCAACGCATCGGTCGATTGACTTTTGCGTGTGACCATCGACCAACGTGACGTGCGTAGGCTGACTTTTCCTTCGAACGCGCAGACCAAACCCGGCGCGTGCCATGAAGTCTTGGCTGATGTAGTTGCGAGAAGCTCCACAATCGATCAAGGCACTGCAGGTCGCCTTTCCGATCTGAATGGGGATGTAGAGGAGCGGCGCGTCGATGTCGACGTACCGTTGCGTTGCGTGCTCGCGGTCAATCTTCGCAAGATAGTTACGAAGGTCAACAACGGCTACTCCGCCATCCGTCGACGGAGGTGGTACTGCAGCGTGCAAGTATTCGCGCAAATGTGCCATCAAGGTGTTGCAATGCGGTGTTGGCAAAGAACCGGTGGAAGGAAGAGGCAACCATTGGAAGTCCTCCATCGTCAACGGGTCGAGTTCCTCAAGACTCTCAAGACTCGCCCAAGTTGACGGATCCTCCGATAGAAGGGCTGGCGAAGCAACCGGTTCGTACTGCACCAAGTGCAATGTTTCTTAATGGATTCTGTATTTTAAGTTTACCTAAAGATATGCAAAAGATCCTTGGCTTGCTAGTTGTCTCTCACTTTGCCTGCTTTCTTTAGCAGGTATTCCGCCGTTAACAGGTTTTTTTGGCAAAATTTTTCTATTTTGGTCTGCATGGCAATCTGGTTTTTACTTTTTAGGAATATGTCTGTTGGATTTTCTTCTAACGAGTTATAATTTTGGTTGTTACTATGATTTTCACAATAGTTCATTTCAATTCAAAGAGAGTATAGAATGGATTCCTGCTATTGGTATTAAATGGGCTTTAGGTGTGGATGGACTTTCTATGGGACTTGTTTTATTGACAGGTTTCCGCGCATGCGCTTGAATCTTGCACGTGGAGAGGCTGGTTCAACGGTGGGACCAGCTCGATAGCATAGTTCTCAAAATCAATACGAGAACCTGCGACTGTCGCGTCATCCCCGGATGTGAGAGGGACTGCTAGCAAGGCAGCCAACTCCGGCGGATTGGGAAGTGATGTCGCTGCACTTCCCGCAGTGCTCAGTTTCCTAACCTTGGACGCTTGACATTTTCCTTGTCCTTGCCGAGGCATGCGCTGGTGATGTGTTTGGTGTTGTTGCACCAAAAACAGCATCCCCATTTATGTCGCAACTTGAACATGTCTTCGGTAATGCCGAACTTTGTCCATGGTGACTGTCGTGCTCCATCTGCCGACGCTGGTTTCGCCTATTGTTTGGGGTCTTGAGCGCTGCGGTGGTATCGTTGCCGCCACATCTCCGTCACTTGATGTAGACGCGGCTGCGTGGTCCTCACTAGGTCCTTGCTGGACTGCTGCTACTTGCGGCATCCGCTGACCTTTTCTCCACGTAAGCGGGCTGTTGGCGGGCCTCATTGGCCGCACGCCGGTTACCTTGTATGAGCTCCCTTGCCTTTGAGATCATGTCATCAAAGGTCTCATACTGGAATTCGCTGCTGAGAGCAGCTGCCAAGGCGTCGCATGACCGAGCAAAGAATTCGGCCCGAATTGCGTCGAACGGTAAGTTCAACTCCGGGGTGGCGACGAGCCTTTGCCATTCCGTCAGCCACTCCCGTGAAGGTTGCTGGCCTTGAAACATGCGGAAGATCTTGTTCAAGGCGTGATGCTTGTCGTTGTTGACCATGAACCGGGTCTTCGATTTCTTCTCAAATTCCTCCCACGTAATCTTGGTGTGGAGGGTGGCGATGGTGCATTCCAATGTGACCGCCTTGTGCGTCATGAAGGCCTGCGCACCTCCAATGAGTTGGAGGTAGAGTGCATCAAGCCGCCATAGTGGTGCGGTGTGGTGTACGTCCGCCTCTACGTTGAATGCCATCCACCATTGCAGCGGATCAGTCTTGTGGTAGTCGTCGAACTTCTCGATCTTGAAGTTTGGCACCTTCCATTCCTTGGCGACGACGACCGGTCGTTGTTGAACGTGGTCGCTGAGCGTCTGCAGCTGATTGCTGACTGTCGATGCTCCAACAAACTTGCTGATGTCGCCGAGGGATGCGACTACGTGGTTGATCCGCTCCTCGAGTTGCTTGGCCTGCACGACCAAGGCTGGGCTGCAGTCTGCCACAGCGCTGCCCGTCGACGCAGCTGCCGACCGTCGTGCCAACCCCATGCTGACATCGGTTTGCAACTGGTCGTTGATTGTCTGCTGCTGGCTGTTGGCGACCTGTAGTGTGCTGATCTCGGCCTGCAGGGTAGCGATCTTCTTGTCCAGTGCTTTAAACGTTGTTTCATGGCGGGTGAAGACCTGCCGCATGGCCAGCAGTTCACGTTGCTGCCAATTGCACGTGTACAACAGATTCTCCATCAAAATTGTTGTGGCCTCCTTGTTTCTCTCATCCTCGGTCGGCTCCTCTTGTTCTTCGTTTGCTCGAAAATGCTGCTGTCGGAGTAACCTCCGGTACGTGGCTTCTTCGTTGGCGAGCTCCATTGTAGCTTGGTAACGACCTTGGTTTTGACTTGCCTCGACCTGCTGCTGTTGCAACCGTGCGGCTGCTGCAGCTTCTGCTGCGGCCTGCTGGCATGCTGCCTCTGCCTCTGCCAGCTGGCGTTGAATTTCCTGCTGGCAGGCGGCTTCCTCCTCTTCCCACTTGCTTAGTTCAGCTGCCGTGGTCTCTGAGTAGAGCTGGAGACGTTTGAGAAACGCTAGTAGCATTTCATCGGCCTGCTGAACTAGGATAGGAGGGGTAACCGGGCTCTTGGGGCTGGCTTGTGCATTGGCGTCAGCGGTAGCGGTCATGGTTGTGTGTCGTCTGCGCGGGATCCGAGGGGTCCTAGGTCCCAGTTGGGGCTTGGTTCCTGTGGATCCGCGCTCCGCAAGCCGTTGACTGCGGCACATTAAGACCTCTGGTCTTCGTCTGCTGCTGATATGTCACCACTGAGGTGGCACCTGCTGATGTGACACTACTGAGGTGGTCGCTGCTGAGTTGGCACTCGGTTGTCATGGCACGCTAAGGTGGCACGCGGCTGATGTGGCAATCTACCTTCGTGGCCCGCTGCTGATGTGGCACAATGCTGACGTGGTCAGGGACTGAAGTCCGCAGTACCGAGAGGAGGAGAGAGAGAAGGTAGGGGTGGAAGAAAGGGCAGAGAGGCAAACAATGCACAGACAATCCTTTTTCCTCCCTGACCTCGAAGCTTGAATTGCCCCCCCCCCACAAAAATTGCGAATTTCAAGAAATTAAATATTTAATTATTTAAATAAATTTAATCATAAAATACGGATTTTATTAAATAACATTTAATTTTGGCAAAAGATTAAATATTTAATTTAAGAATATTTAAATTTGCAATAATTAATTTTGCAAAAGTTAAATATTTAATTAAAGAATATTTAACGTTGCATAAGGAAAAATGAATAAAGTTTAAGCAAGTTTAAACATTTAAACATAATTTTAATAATTTCATGAAATTTAATCGGGAGAGTTTTAGCATCATTACGAGGTCATGAAGTAAGTAGAAGATCAATGGTTGCAGGAAGATACACAATTTGCTTGACAAGATTCAAACTTTAATCGCAATGAAGATGCGTTTGCAAAAAGTGGAAGTTCCGTGAAGTTGCAGTTGAATGTGGTCGTGCTCAGGCCCGATCTGCCCTAATTGGCGTGGTACCTGGCTGGCGCTTACTTCCCATAGTCTTGACAGGTCGTTAGGTTAGGTTAGGACTAACTGCAATCAGACTCGCTATCTTTCACACTTCACATGTATGCAAACAGGCGCGCAGTTAACCGGCAACAAGCGCCCACTCAAAACTCAGAGATATGGTAGCCGAGAACACAGTTCAGATACAAGATCACTTCAATGGCTATGGCGACACAGCGCCCACTCAACTCTCTGTTCGCACACACAGGATCACCCTGGATATCCCACACGCGTTACTTTGTACATACATACACACACACACACACACACTGCACGCTATCTACAGCTATAGCGGCTATGGCGGCTGCTACCCTGTCGCTATGGCTAAGCTCCTTCTCTCTTGCCCACTTCGTCCTCGGGTTCACTACAAACCACATCGCACAAGTCGCAGTGGCAGCGCTTCCACATGGTTCACGCAGGAATGAATGAATGGTTGGACGCTGGCCTTTGATTTATACTTCTCTAGCTCGTTGGTCTGTTGGCCCTTTTCCTTGCTCGTGGTGCACACAGTCCCATGCAGTACTTGCATGACTGGACTAGGACTGACTGGGACCGGTATTGCTGACTACATGGGTTTGCACTGCCAACTCGATGCAGTCGCACGTACTACAGTTGGGCTCACCACTTGCCCACTTGCCCACTTGCCTCAGCCAAAACGTGAGCAACTTCAAAAGGCCACTGCTAGGACCTTCCGGAAGTCTGGGTCCTGGCCTTTCGAAGACTGTAGCCGCTACGACCTTGACCCTTCAGGACTGTAGCAGCTACGACTTCTAGAACTCCCTAAGACTTCTACTCGACAGACCTACAAATCGAACCCTTGCTACCTACAGACCCTACGACAGTTTACCAACTGTTACAAATACACAGGTCACGGGTTCAACTCACGGGGTCAACACAGATACCGTACACATGTAAGGTGAGGACTAGGGATCGAGCCCTGGGATCTGCATCGGCTACTTCAAACTGGTGAATACCATTTCACTCCCGCCGGCCTAAATTCGAGGTCCTCCAAGAATAACTTAGTCCAAGGCAGGAACATTACCTTTCTTATTTCTCTCGTAGGCTCTCACTATGTCGGGAGCTGTTTCTAAAAGTTCTGTTCTGGTAAACCAGCGGTCGTCCTCTGGCTCCTAATAAGCGAATCAGACTTTATATTGTTTTTGTGGACGACCTCTACCTCCTGTTCTAAACACATCTTCACCTACGATGCCGTCAATGTCATACCTTCCGTCCATGTTTGGAGGGATCATGGACCGTCTGGATGGAAACTGCTGACTTGTGACACACGGCAGCAACTTTGATGCATGAAATACAAGGTAGGTGTGGAGGTGTGCTGGGATCTCTATTGTGGAGGACAGCCCATCCTCTCTGCCCTTGACTTCTAGAACTGGCCACGGTCCTCTATACCCGGGCAGTAACTTCTGCGAGATGTTTTCCTCAGGAACAAATTTCTTAGACTTGACCCAGACTAAGACGCCTACTAGGACCTGTGATGGGCGACGGTGCTTGTTAGCTTGTTCTATCATTCTATGCTGGGCCTTCCTGAGATTTTCCACAACTGTAGCTATTTCTTTTTCGTGTTGTATTGCGAACTCCCTGGTACCGAGCGGTAGCCTATGAATCTGATCCCGGTTAAGTCCCTCGAACGGTCTGCGCGGTCTAAAGGACTTGTGCAACTCATTGGGAGTGCGACAGGAAGACAGGTGCACACTGTTATTGTACGCACACCTCGTCCCAGTTGATCTGATCAGGTCTAATGTGCATGCGCAGAACTTGCTGCAGGATCTTGTTCATCTGCTCAGTCTGACCGCTAGTCTCTGGATGGCGGCCAGACAACATCAACAACTTGGATCCATAGACTCTCATCTGTTCCTGCCAGTTCTGGCTTCACTTCCATAGACTCTCATCTGTTTCTGCCAGTTCTGGCTAGTGAAGCGACTATCCCTATCGCTAACTATAGACAATGGGACTCCATGCTCACTAACCCAAAAATACAAAAACTTATGAATCACTAATTCAGTACGGGCCTCTACAGGCAAAGGGACAAAAACAGCATATTTGCTAAATCTATCAACTATGACCATGACTTGGCTCTTGCCGTGCCTACTCTTGACTTGGGTATCCATAAAGTCAATGGACACTGAGTCTCCGGGCTGGTCTGAAATAGGCAAGGGTCTGAGAAGACCAAGAGGGGCTCGCATAGTACTCTTGTTTCTCTGGCAATCTTTGCAACTGCGGACATACTCTACGTAGTCAACTTTCATTCCTGGCTAGGTATACACATACATCAGATTGGCTAGAGTCTTTTGCCAACCGAAATGTCCCTCTGTGTCGTGGCATTCCCCTAGGATCAAACTACGGATCTCCTCACTGTTGGGAAGCCACAAACGGTCTACTATATTGGTCTTCTCAAACAACAGTCCCTCTGTAGTGCGGTAGTCTGGTTCGGTCCTTGGGGCCTCCTTGACTCTTTTGAGGAGGTCACTATAAATAGTGTCCTGCGCATACGCTTGTCTAACTTTCTCCTGCAGGTCACTCCCTATGTCCAGATAGTGAACTGTAGCTCCAAAGTAGTTTGATCTCCTACTCAGAGCAACTACATTGTACTTGCCCTTAACTGGCTTGAGCTCAAAGTCGTACTGGTCTATCTCAGCGGCCCACCTAGTCAACTTAGGTGTCATCTTGGCCTATGTCTTCGGCCATCTAAGGGTCTCATGGTCTGAATACACCTTGAAGTGCCTCCCAAGCAAGTAGTGCTTCCAGTGCTCTAAGGCCTGCCTGAGACCGTAGAGCTCCCTCTCATACGTCGAGGTAGCAACCTTCTCTGAGGGCATCCTCGCTGACATGAACTCTACGGGTCTGTAGCCATTGCCGTCGTCCTGCTGTAACACGACGCCTATACCATACTGACTCACGTCCGTGGTGACGACAAATAGCAAAGACGGATCTGCCACCTTGAGGACAGGGTACTCTATTAATGCGCGCTTCAACTTCTTTAGCGCAGACATGCAGTCCTTATCCCACTGCCAGATTGCCTCTTTCTTGAGCAACCTGCGAAGGGGAGCGGCGATAGTCGAGAAGTTCCTTACGAACTTCCTATAGTAATTAGCTAGACGTAGGAACGACCGCAACTCGGTCAAAGTGCGGGGCGTTGGCCAATCTCTAATCGCCGCTATCTTACTGTCCTCAGGCTTAATGCCATCTCCGTCTAACACGTCGCCCAAGTACAAGACTTGTGTCTTGGCCCACTCACACTTATTTGCGTTGATCTTGAAGTTAGCTTCTCTCAGCTTCTCCAAGACCTGCCTCAAATGACCCTGATGCTCTTGGAGGGTCCTACTGAACACTAAAATGTCGTCTAAATACACTACAACAAATCTATCTAACCACGACCTAAACAGATCATTCATACGCTGGAATGTAGCAGGCGCGTTGGTCAGTCCAAAGGGCATCACTATGAACTCATAATGCCCATATCTAGTCCGAAAAGCAGTCTTGTACTGGTCGTCAGGATGGACCTCTATCTGACGATATCCAGACTTTAGATCGATCTTCGAGAAATATCTGCAACACATACGCAACTCTCCTTCCTTCTTGGGGACAAACAAAACTGGTGCTCCAAAAGGAGACGAACTGAGCCTAATCCAACCTTTCTCAAGGAGCTCATCCAACTGCTTGCGCAACTCCTCTAACTCTCCAGGGGACATCCTGTAGACTGCTCCCTTAGGAGTTCTACTGCCAGGCTCTATCTCTATTATGTGCTGGATCGGCCGCGGCACTACTCGTGTTGGCGGCTCTGTCAGATCTTTAAACTCTTCCAGCAGCTTGGCAATGGTTGGATCCATGGAACTATCCTCTGTGATAGGCTTAGTAACAGGTCTGACATACACTACGAAGACCTGATCCTCTAATTGCTCCTTTCTCACTAGTCGTGCGAAAGCGGGAGCACCGAGACAGCAATGTGCATGCGAGTTGTCTACTCCTGACACGTGGAACAGATGGGTTGTCTTAACCTCGCCTGACCGACTAGGGAGCCTACACTCATGTCCATACCTAGGACTATATCAAGAGGAAGATCATCCTGTACGAGGAGAGTCAGGGAATGGAGAACTTTCTCCACCTTCCCATCTTTCTCTGGGCGAAAATACACCTGGACTCCCTCTATGTAGTCCTCAACACGCATAGTGCGGTTGTCTGCGAGGACACTAACTATGGGGTCTGCTAACTTTTGGACTTTCAATCCTAGCCTCAACTTTTTCAGCGCTCTACGGCTAATGTAACTGCGCGTAGCCCCTGAATCTATAAGGGCCCCAACTCTACTTCTAAAGACTTCTACATCAACTAACACTAGCTGCCCTTTACTGTCTTTCTTCATTTCGGCCCCGGCTGGCATCCTCTCCTTTAACTCTTCTGCCACGTCTGTGAGGGAAGTGCCTAGAGAGACGTAAACACAAGCAGTCTCTAGACAACTAACTAGGCATGGGCCTGCAACCTCTGCCGAAGGCAGAGCCGAAGGCACAGGTGGTGTGGGAGTTTCCTGTACGCGCGCGCTCGCTTCCCCATATGGCCTAATAGTAGGGACAGTTGCAACCCCTACCGGCGGCTGCCTTTTGACTCCTGGGCAGCCCATCGGGCCTGTCTACACTTAGGACAATATTTAATAATATGGACAGGGTCACCACAGTAAATGCACTGCCCCTGCTCTGATACCAATGCAATCAGACTCCCTATCTTTCACACTTCACATGTATGCAAACAGGTGTGCAGTTAACTGGCGACAAGCGCCCACTCAAAACTCAGAGATATGGTAGCCGAGAACACAGTTCAGATACAATATCACTTCAATGGCTATGGCGACGCAGCGCCCACTCAACTCTCTGTTCGCACACACAGGATCGCCCTGGATATCCCACACGCGTTACTTTGTACACACATACACACACACACACACACTCTGCACGCTATCTACAGCTATAGCGGCTATGGCCGTTGCTACCCTATCGCTATGACTAAGCTCCTTCTCTCTCGCCCACTTCCTCCTCGGGCTCACTGCAGACCACCTCGCACAAGTCGCTGTGGCAGCGCTTCCGCATGGCTCACGCAGGAATGAATGAATGGTTGGACGCTGGCCTTTGATTTATACTTCTCTAGCTCGTTGGTCTGACCCTTTTCCTTGCCCGTGGTGCACACAGTCCCATGCGGTACTTGCTTGACTGGACTAGGACTGACTGGGACCGGTATTGCTGACTGCATGGGTTTGCACTGCCAACTCGATGCAGTCGCACTGTCGACGTACTGCAGTTGGGCTCACCACTTGCCCACTTGCCCACTTGCCTCAGCCAAAACGTGAGCAACTTCGAAAGGCCACTACTAGGACATTCCGGAAGTTTGGGTCCTGGCCTTTCAAAGACTGTAGCAGCTACGACCTTGACCCTTCAGGACTGTAGCAGCTATGACTTCTAGAACTCCTTAAGACTTCTAGAACTCCTTAACCCTTGCTACCTTCAGACCCTATGACAATCTACCAACTGTTACAAATACACAGGTCACGGGTTCAACTCTCGGGCTCGACACAGATACTGTACACATGTCAGGGGAGGACTAGGGATCGAGCCCTGGGATCTGCATCGGCTACTGCAAACTGGTGAGTACCGTTTCACTAACCCTAATTAGCACTAATTAGGTTAATTGTAATTAGCGATTCCCTAATTTGCGCGATATGAGAAAAGTGGCAAAACCTAAAATTCTGGGTTAGGCCGACGCCCGGCAAGACGGACCGGGCCAAACGGGTGGAGGGGAGGTGGAGGGGGGATTTGACAAGGGGGTAAAAGGGTGTGTTGTAGCAGCCTTTTCCTGTTTCTTCTGCTGTTTTGCCACTCCTCCGTCCAGACCCGCCACTCCCCCCTCCAATGTCGCTGGCACTGCCCGCCATTGTGCCATGGAAGTAGAGGATGCAAGGACCACCAGCGAGGGAAAAAAGAAAGTTCAAATATCGGAAGAAGAAGAAGAAGAGGAAGAAGAAGAGAAGAAGAAGAAGAAGAATTACGAGGAGAAGAAGAAGAAGACTTAGAAGGAGAAGAAGAAGTAGAAGAAGAAAAAGAAGAAGAAGAAGAAGACAATGACTTAGGGAGGAGGAGGAGAAAGGAGGAGGAGGCGAGAAGAAGACGAAGGGAGGGGGAGGAGGAGGAGGAGAGAAGAAGGCGAAGGGAGGGGGAGGAGGAGAGGAAAAGAAAATGAAAGGAGGAGGAGGAGGAGGACCTGCCGATTGTAAGTTGCGTTGACGGAAAAAAAAAAAAAAAAAAAATGACGAAGGAGGAAGA